CGGGGGTCCTGGTGAGGGGGAGGGTCGCGGCGCGGGTTCGGCGCGCGCATCTCCGGAGGCCTGCAGTGGAGATGGCCTGCGCGGGCCGCCGCCCGATGGGTCCGCCCTTCTCCGCGCCGTGGGCGCCGGCGGTGTGCGGGGTCCCAGGGTGCCCGCAGCCTTACCGGGTTAAGCCAGCGGCGGGCTTGCTGGGAGTGTGCGCGCGTGTGAATCCACCGGGATCGCCTTCCAAGCCAGCGTCGGAGGACCCCGAGCCCTTGGCCTCCTCGGGGGCCCGCGTGGTACCCAGGAGGAGGCCTTGCCCGGGGCCTCTGGGCCCAGTTCCCACCCCCCGGCCGGGAGGGCCCCGACCCCTGGCCGGCTGGCGGGCGCCGGCCTTTGTGTGGGACCCCAGTGGTGCGCCGTCGAGAAACTGGTGCCCCAGGTAGCTGCTCCTTTGTGAAGCCGTCTCCTCCCCGGGGACCGACCTTTGTTGTAAATCTCTGATTACACTCTGCTTTTATGTAGGTAGCGTGGTATTTAAAAACAGTTACAAACTCAGCTTCTAAACTGAACACATGTCTAGGCAAGAGAAGTCTGGTGTTAAAGATGAACCGCTTTTGTGCCTTTTTTTTTTTTTTTTGCCAGTTCTGGGCTTGAACTCAGGGCTGGGCACTGAGCTACTTTTTTGCTCAAGGCTAGCGCTCTACCACTTCAGCCACAGCACCACTTGCCGCATTTTCTGCTTATGGGGTGCTGAGGAATCAGATCCGGGGCTTCCCATCCTAAGCAAGCACTCTACCACTGAGCCACATTCCCAACCAGCCCTGCGATTAACCACGTTCTCCACCCCCACCCTCCGCCGCGCGCTCTTTTGTACATTCATATTAAGTTAGAACCTGCTTATCTTATCACTAGTTAGTACGTTCATTTTTCTCTGAGTAAAATACAGGCAGCTCTGGGCCTTCACTGCCTTTCCAGCTTATCAAAGATACCCTACTTTAAATCTGCACACTTCCCACTGTAGAGTTCAGTCACAAAAGCATCTGTTGGCCTCAGTGAGGAGGGTAAGGAAGACTCAGGGTACTTTTTGTCCTGGTAGTAAAGGCTGTCCTCTTTCTTGCAGTCAGGCACAGCATATTCACTACCTGTGTTATGGTGGGTGAACCTAACAGTCAGCAGATAGTAGGAAGGCACTTGGCACTTGCTGTAGGTCTGTTGATTGTGGTGGCCTCGGAGGCCAGCTGTAGTATCTGGACCTGCCCATAGTCTGTCTTAGCTTGCCCTGCTTCACATAAGTCACTTGTTCCGCACAGAGCTGAGCTGTGTGGTACCTTTTGTTTTGGGGTTTGAGGGTGCCATTTTCTTCCTACATTCACAGTTTTAAAAATCTTAAGAAAGTAATATACAGAGTGAGCTTCAGATCAGCCAGTGCTGCTTATGTGCAGGTAAGGACAGTAAGGATGGGAAGCGATCTTGGTTGGCTACACAAATTCTTGTAACCTAACAGTCTGCCGCCATTTAATATTTTTAAATTTTATTTATGTGAGTGTGTGCCTGCACATGATTCAGGTGTACCAGGGCTTGAACTCAGGGCCTGGGCTCTGTTCCTGAGCTTTTTTGCTCAAAGATAGTGTTCTACCACTTGAGCCAAAACCTCACTTCAGCTTTTTGGTAGCTATTTGGAGGAAAGAGCTTCACAGACTTTCCTTCCCAAGCTGGCTTCAAATTTCAACCTTTTAAGTAGCTAGGATTACAGTTGTGAGCCACTGTCACCCAGATAATATTTTTATTATACGTACAAAAGTCCTAATAAAAACCTTTGAATAATACAGGCAAATCATTTCTGATTTTCACTTCTCCAATTGAAGGACAATAAAGATACTGTTTTGCTCTAAAGTCTTTTTAAAAATATTATTGCCTGAGTAGTTGTCCAAAGGAGTTGCCATTCAACAAAGCAGTTTAAGAATACAGTGCATCTTGATCAACATCACCCCTTTTCCACATTTTTACCCAGCCCACCCCTTCCCTTACTGTTCTTACTCTTGTAGGATATGTATTGATTTTTTTCCACTTAACAAAGCAATGTATACAATGCATCTTGATGTGTGTTACCCCTTCAACAATTTCACCCTCCTTTGGCCCACCCCTTCTCTTATTTTTCTTAATTTTGTGGTATATACAAGGATTTCTAGACTGCATTCTCCCTCCTCCCCTTTCTTCCTTTATGCATTTTATTTTATTATTTATTTTTGGTCGGTCGTGGGGCTTGAACTCTGGGCTTGGGTGCTATCCCTCAGCCCTTCAGCTCAATGGGCTTGAGCCACAGCACCACTTCCGGTTTTCTAGTGGTTTATTGGAGATAAGAGTCTCGTGGACTTTCCTTGCCAAGGCTGGCTTTGAACCGTGATCCTCAGATCTCAGCCTCCTGAGTAGCTAGGATTACAGGTGTGAGACACTGGCGCCCGCCTTTCTTTATTCATTTTAAAATGGAATGTTTTAAAGTGTTTATCTATAAACAGGCAAATTCTGTCCTTTGGAAGTTCAGTTGACTTTTCCTCTTACAAAAGCCAGTTTTGTATCACTGTAAATCAATCTCATAGTTCTTCATATAAGATTGTGCTTCTCCGAATGGTTATGACATCAGCTTGGTTCTCATGAATAATAAGGTAAATAAAATCTTTGACATGTTCAAAAAATCCTGCTTCCCTCCCTTTCTGTTTGCCCATTTTCTAAATAAGAATAAGGGAAAAGTTCTAATTGCCTTCTAAAGTTTTCATAAGATTGGGGAGGAAGTACTAAATTTATTCTCTTAAAATTGGTAAGAGAAAGGCCTAGCTTATTGTGGAGTATTAATAGTAAGCTGACATGTCTGCCTGCTTCCCTCTCCCCCTCCCCTCTTTCAAAGTTGGAGTGCTTAATCCAGTTGGTGAGAGCTGGAGCCACACTGAACACCTCCACCACACGCTACGCCCAGACCCCAGCGCACATTGCTGCTTTTGGGGGACATCCTCAGTGCCTAGTCTGGCTAATTCAAGCGGGGGCCAACATTAACAAACCGGTAAGACTTTTGTTGTTTCTTCCTCACACGGCATTGTTTTAAATTGAGACATTCATCAGAGTTTGGTATATTTCCTGAGGCCAGTTAGAATTTACTCCTTCAGTTATCTTGGATAATAGGCCCTTTCTAGAAGCATGCATTCTGTCTGTAGTGTGCCTTCACCTATTATGTGACTCACTAAAATCTTCTGCTGAGATCTGGTGATTTCCCCAAGGTCACAGCTTGTAATTGAAGGTAGTTGGCCTAAAGCCCAGGTTTCTTGGCTTGTGTTCAATGCTGTCTTCCCTTGACTTCACACATACACTGTAAAAACACACCCTGACTAGCAAAAAGATGGCTTAAGTCCGCTTCAAGGTGAATTTGTTTTGCTTAAGATATAAGTTAGATCACGGGTAGATACAGAAAAGTCATTTTCATTTACTGAGGAAGAAGTGATAATGGTTCACGTAGTTTTATTTAAGATTATACAGCTGGGTACTGGTGGCTCATGCCTGTAATTCTTGTTTTGTTTTGTTTGTTTGTTTTTGGTGGGTCATGGGGCTTGAACTCTGGGCCTGGATGCTGTTCCTCAGCTCTTCAGCTAATGGCTAGCAATCTACCACCAGAGCCACAGTGCCACTTCTGGTTTTCTGAATGGTTTATTGGAGATAAGAGTCTCATGGACTTTCCTGCCCAGGCTGACTTTGAACCTTGATCCTCAGATATCAGCCCCCTGAGTAGCTAGGATTATAAGTGTGAGCCACCAGCACCTGGCTCATTCCTGTAATTCTAATTACTTTAGGAGCCTGAGATCTAATGATCGTGGTTCGAAGCCAGCCCAGGCAGGAAAGTCCTTGAAACTCTTGCTTCCAGTTAACCAACAAAAAGCTAGAATTGGAACTGTGTCTCCGGTTGTAGAGCATTAGCCTCGAGCAAAGAAGTTCAGGCCCTGAATTCAAAAAGAAATTTTTTAAAAAGAAGTAAATGAAATGATGGTGTATGTGTGTGCTAAGGTTTTCATAGGAGTTTGTATTTAAGGTCAAGTATAAAGATGGCAGTGTGTATGTATGGCAATGTATATATGTGCCAGGATTTTCATGGTATATATTCACATTTTCTCACCTAAGTGAAAGGCACACGTGAGCCCTTAAGTTGTCAGCTCTGAGTAGAGAAGCATCCAGCAGATGGATCATGGCTGTCTGACACTTGGTCTCCTGAGGGAGGCGTATCCTTGGCATGGTGGTGGTTTTCTTGGTGTTGTATGCTTTCCCACTCAGTCATTAAGGTTCTTTGTGTGCAGAGGAACTCTTTCCTCTGTGATATTTTTCTTTTTCCTAAGGTTCATTCTTTGATTATAACCAGGTGTAAAGTACTGAACATAGTCCACTGAACAAAGTACTGAACATACCCACTTGAAGGCCAAGTTGAGAAAAGAGTTTAAGGCGTAATTGGCAAGCTGTCCTCTGTATACAACTCCTCGTAAAAATGGCAGTATTGAAAGAGGCCTGAAGAGTAGAGACAGTTTTTTTGTTTTTGTTTTTATATTTTTCATGTTCTCTTTCCTTCCTTTCCTCTCCACTCACATTTCTTTAAAAGTGTGCTCTCCGCCTTTTTGTTGTTTCAATTCATGTGAATTGTCTCCTTGTGTGTCCACCTTGCTGGATAGCAGCATGTTTGTCCATTTACCAGTTCTGATCAGCAGATTCCAGGTGACAGATGAAGAAGTAGCCAGTGCTGTGATACATCAGAGTTCCATTTATTAAATAATACCCCAATAACCACCATCATTCAAGGGATGAGCTCAACCACCTGGGCAAGGTTAAGCTGACGATATCTCCCCCACCTCTGCTATTATAAGTTCAAATTAGCACTCGGAAAACTTAAGGGGGATTACAGGAAAGTAGACAAAAGGGGGCATCTGAGAAGGGGTAGATGACAAAAGACAGGAAGCACAGTTTCAGTAAGAGATCCAGGAATTCCCTCGCTAAGTTAAGTGCATTCAGGGGCTCTGTCTGTTGACAGGAATTAGAGCAAAAGGTCAAGCGCTCATAATCCTGTGTATTTCAGCCAGTAATTTTCCACTGTGTTCATACTTTAAGCATGCTGCCAAGTCTCCTGCAGCCAGTCACAGCCCCCACAGGGCTCTAGAGTTCCCACATCCATTAACATCATATCCTGTACTCTTGGCTTCTGGTTTCTGAGTAAATGAACATTGCTTCCACTGCCTTGTCACTGTAGCCTCAGACAAGGCACTTGACCATACAACTGAGTCGTCATCAATAAAATACAGACAATACTGGGAGAGGGCAGGGGAAGGGGTGTCCCTGTCCCAGAAGAAATGTACTACTCATTACCTGACTTATGTGACTGTCACCCCTGTGTACATCATTTTATAATAACAATTTTAAAAGGACAGTTCCATGGATGTAAGTAACATCGAATCTAAATATAGAATGTTAAATTTTACATATCAAGTTCTAAAGAAATTGTCTGATAGTTTTTCAGACATTATTCAGTGTAGCAGCAGCTTTCCAACCAGCATCCCAAAGCAGCTGAGTATTGTCAACAGGTGTTGAGCATGTGGGCTGAAGGTATATGGGTGTGTCTTGCACTGTCCCTTGAGTACCTTGTAACATCATCTTCTGCACTGTGCTCCCCAGTACAGAACCACAGCTCCTCTCCCTTCAGCCTTACATGTATTCAGATGCACAGCCCAGTTTGCATGTGTGCCAGAGCTCTGCGGGAACCCTTAAAAGCATCCTAGAATTTCTTCCAGAAGGGTTTTAGGGCATCACAGTATATGGAGCATAGGGCTAAGTCTCTGACACTAGTTGGTGCTGTAGTTTGGGGTAGACTGGGGCCTCTTCTGTTGGCTCTTGAGGTCACAGCAACTCTTCAGCTGTGTTAGCACACCATTGGTTCCTCTAGAGGTAGATGACTTATCTTGTTTCCCACTTTAAAAAGCCAGGTCCAGATTTGCCTTTGCTGTTAGAGCACTTTAACTTAGAATCCACCGTAGATTTCTTCTGCTTCCTTGTGAGCATGTTCACTGCTGGCAGGCCACATTCATTTTTCCTGTGGCCATCTGTCAGGTGAGTTGTGAGATGACAAAATATTGTCTGGCTCCTCATTGTGGGCTTCCCCAAAGAGGACATAAAGCTGGCTTTTGTGAGATGTATTTTCAATGCCTGTGTTAACCAGCCTTGCTATATATCTCCAGTTTGTGCTCTTTATGTTAGAAATTATGCGTCAAAGTGCCCTGTCTGTCTTCTATCTTCTGTCCCTGGCTCTTTCTTCTGGAGTATTCAACAGTTCTAGAATCTTACTGCAAACTTACTGGAAACTGAAAATGACAAAACATTTATTCAAATGAAAGTGAAAATAACGTGCTGCAGGACACATCTGTCTCGATGAAGGCCCCAGCTCCTGCAGGTGTCTGTCCAGTTTCATCTACCTCAACAGTTCTTTGTGTGACACAGTGATTATATTTTCTCTGCTAACATCCCATTCTTTTTCTGAAGTGGTATAGCAAATTTCGAATTTTTCATCATCTTCTAATATTAGCTTTTCTTCCTTGAGGGTATTTTGTGGAGCTTGTCTATCTGAGTTGCAGTTTTCCTGGCAGTTTTTCTCAGTGCTATTTTTCATGTGATGTTATGATGTGTGTTTATTATAAACCACTTCTCCTGTCCTTCCTCTTTAGGAAGGTATTTTGTTCTTTTAAATATAAGTTCGCTAGCTAGTTCCCCAGACAGCCATCACAAACAGAGGTTGGCAATTCTGTTCCTTTTGAAAGGGAACATTTTCTTTCTGGAGTTTAATGCCACCTTATATTCCCCTCAGACCCTATTGAGGTTTGTGTCAAACTAACAGTCATGTGTTACTCTGTTTTCTTTTTATTTGGGAGGCCCACACCCCAGCTTTTCTTGAGAATTCATATGCAGTGGAGAAGAGCTGAGAAATTTGCTTAGCTTATGAATGAGCTGTTTTCCCAGTGCCATGCATTACTCACAGTTACCCATTCCTGCATTTTAAGTCTTTATTCCATATTGTGCCAACTGTAGCTCCCAGTAGCATTGAAACGGGATTGATTCAAATACTGCCCCAGCTTTGTTACCAGGCTTTTGTAGATGAAGCCTTAAACTCATGTTCCTAGCAGAAATGACCCCCTTCTCTTGATTGCTTAGATGATTAATTGTAGTTGCTGTGTCTGTCTTCTACTGATCTGACAGCCTAGGAATGTTGTTATTTCAGGGTTTTGTTTTTTCATTTATTCATGCATATAAACACGTTCATCTTTTTGGGATGCCAGCAATAGACTCCTGCCTTTGTCCCTTGCTGCCTCCTTCAGTATCTTTACTAAAACAGGTCTGTTTTGACTAGGAAGCGTGTCCTGTCTGACCTTGTGTTCTTCCTCTTTGTTCTGCCCTCTGACCTCAAACTATATGCCTCCCATATGCTTCCTCAGGCAGAGGCAGATATTTTGGCTCGTGAGCACTATGGTAGCAGAAGTGGGGCATGGATAGGTTGGGTTGTGAGTTAGTTTTTATGTGCTATGAATTGGGTTAGATTGCTGCTCTAATGTGAATTTTTCTTAACTTACATGATAGTGATTTGGGATTTGTATACAAAACATTGTGCCATGGCTTAGGATAAAATGACTTTGAAATCACCAGTGACTGCATTCATGCTGTTACTCTAGAAGAGGGCATAGGAATTATGGTCATTGATCTGTAGCTAAACAGTGTGGAGAGCATCACCTTCCCTGCTTCCATCTTCCCTTTGAATACATGTCTTTGTGTGTTCTATTTTGCTTACCATTTTGTTTCATTTTGGAGATCAGTGGGAAGGCAGCTGACCTAATTACTAATTATTCTGTACTTAGTGTACAGACATACACATCACACATCTGTACTAATTACTCTGACTTTCACAGTGTGAGAGGTTTTGGGAGATCTGAGTAAGTGCATTGTGTGTTTCAGGACTGTGAGGGAGAAACTCCCATTCACAAAGCAGCCCGATCAGGGAGCCTGGAATGCATCAGTACCCTGGTGGCCAATGGGGCTCAAGCCGAGTAAGTACCCTGGATTATTCCTCCCAGCTAGACTTGTAATCAAGGTGCTCTATTGAAAGGAAGCATTAGCCTTGTAGATCAGTTGTTGGTAAGGAAAATTATGAGCTAAGTTGATCATGAGCAGAGGGACCCTTCTTTCACAGTAGCCTCAGTGGCTATGTAGAGCAAGCACATTAGTATGGAGAGAAAGTCACTTAGAGTTGGAACTGGACATCCAACTCAGCCACTCATTTGTTATTTCACTGTGGCAGCAGGTCTTCACAATTCTCTTGGCTAGGTTATTGTTTCAGAACAAGCATGAGGCTCTTGGTTGGCAAAGAACCTCTGCAGGCTTCTTCAGTTTGAAACAGTCCTCTGAGGACTGTGGCTTTTCCTAATTCTTGATTTCTTCATCTTGGAAAACGTGAGAACATTACTGCTCTAAAGTCAGTTATGGCTTACTGGTTCCTTTATAAAATGGAACCGAGTACAATAACGATTTGAGACTTGGAGTTGATACTTCAAACCTCATGTTTTGATAAATGATGGTATCTAGGATATCAGCTAGATAAATACAGTCTTAGCATTTGATTTTTAATTGTTAATAAAGAAGTATGATCTTATATGAAAATTATTAGGTAGCATTTGTTAAGGCATGAGATTCACCTGTTTTAAATTTCTCTTGAAGATGTGCATATTCTAAAACTTTTTCTGCAGTTCACAGCATTAACAAAATGGATACGATTTTCCTTCCTTAAATGTCAAGTGTAAGCCATAGAGCTCTCATGACCAACATAACAACTGAAGTACCAGCTTTTTAAATTTTACCTTAAATGTTACAAATAATTCATAGAAATTAATTAGAAATCACTTTATTCTAATGGCTTTGGGAGAAGTAAAAGCCACAGACTAGTTTAACCCTTTGGTTTCCATTTCCTTGTTTGACTCTGTATTACAATAAATACTGCACATAGATGGACAGCAAAACCATGTAGGTTAAGCCATCTAGGCATGTCTGTGTAGCAGAGGCTGTGCTCCCTGGCTCAGTTCCTCAGCTTCTGTTCCAGTACCACTGGCAACATTTGCCATTAGTTTGAGTTTCCATCCTTTACTTTTGTAGTAAGTCAGTGTTATAAATATGGCCTGTATTAACTACTCATTGCAGGGACCCTTGTGACTTCATATGTAGTATGACAAGGTAATGTAAAAGCAGTTGATAATATGATTATATTGTTTTAAAATGTGATTCTCAAATACTTTAAAGTTATGGATGAAATTTTATTAACTATGACTAAAATACAGAGTCATATAACATAATTGATTAAATTGCTTAATTATTATGGGAATAATGGATAATTAAAATTAGACCTCTTAACTTTCTAAACAACACTCTGATTGGTCCTAAACATTTTATTACAAAGATGTTACTTTCATTTTAATGGATAGCTTAATCCTTTGAGCCAATAAATATCACTATGTCCTTTTTTATAGTAGGTGTCTTTTAAAATATGAGCATCTTTTATTTACGATTCTGTCCTTGGTTACAGGACCCTCAAGTGTCTCTTTTCCACCAGGTGTGGCTGAGCATGGCCTCGCGTAGTTCCCCTCCTCAGTACAGGAACCTCCCCTCGAGACCCTGCATTATGGTGACTGCCCTGGACTGAGCTCTCACTTTTATTTATTTATTTTTTTAGAAGAAATGCTAGCCTGAGCTACCTAGCCAAAAGCAATTCTTAAAAATTATCTTTGACCTGGAGATAGAACACGAGTAATCATGATTTATTGACTTTGTGTATGTGGTTATTTAGTCTTAACATCTAGTTAAAATGTCAGTTTTGCTGGTAAGCTAAGAATTGCTTTGTTATATCTTATAAGCACTTATTTTATAACTCATCCCATCTCGTTTAGAGTGTAGCTGTTTGAATTCCCAAGATGATGGTACTTAGGCCTGTCTTATGCCTTGTGATGCTGTTCGTATGGATAAGTGTAGTCCTGGCAAATTATACTTTACTTTTGAGATCAGAGGTATAGAATTACTTACTTTTTCCCCTGTTCAGGATGGATCAGATTGTTCTGTATTCTACAGTATTTAAGAGATAAGATTTTCCTATGAATAGATTAAAAGCTGCCTCATACCACTATTTTAAAAAATAATTTTGCTCTTAATTCCTGTTTTTCGTCCATCTGCTACCTGACAGTGGCCACAGTTTCAGTTGTTTTGGTCCCCAGACAGTGAGGCAGTGGTCGTGTGCTAAGTGTCTGTGGCCAGAACGGTTGTTAACACTCACTGGTTAATGTAGGTTGCAACACTAAGGTAACGCATTTCAGCTGCTGTGCATCGTATTAAATTTTCTAGCACCACACGTGAGTATGTTAATGGACTTTTGTTTTCTTCTTTTAATTTAAATCTGAGTTTTGGTGCCAAGTTATCTTTTTCACATGCGTTTCTATGTCTGGCATATGTAATGGTGGTTAACACTTAACCATTACACCTAAAACTTAAAATACATGGGGTTAAGTCTCAGTCCTGTAACCAGACTACATGTTTGCGTGCCTTCAAGTGTCTAGGCCTGTGTCAGAGTAAATTGTAGTTGTCCTTAGTCTTCTTTTGTGTAGTATTAGAGTTCCATTGCTGCTTTCTTTACCCTTACATTTTGATTAGAAGAAGGGCCTGTACCAAGACAGAAAAATATTCCCTCATTTCTTTCTTTGGATGATAGAATAAATTAACAGTGTAAGATTAGAGTAATAGGATTTTGAAGAAAGACTCCAAAATTTGGTGACTGCTATTACTACTAACACCTGTTGCTACTGTAGCAGATCTTGAGCTGTACATTTAACCTTTTGGCTACTTTGTCTTTTATTTTCTTGAGAGAGAAAGTGCCCAGCAACTGCCTATATTACAGCTTTGCCTGTTTCTTAGCTAGGAGCAAAGGGCTTTTAAGATGGGGGGATCACTTGCACCACTGACACTTCTGCTCCTGTCTGAATCACACTTGGTGCAGATGCCAGTGCTTGATACCCTACCCTCTGCAGGAAAGGGTTTCTCCAGAAGCCCTGTGCTCTGTGGTAGCCAGAGCAGGCTGGCTACCTTCTGCTGATAAAACTACTTTAAACTGGAGGAGTCTCACCAGCTATGCCTGTTAGGATTTGCCTGGATAAGAAAATGGGCACAGCGGTCTGTGACAGCAGGAATCTAAGGCATAGCTCACAGACAGTGCTGCAAGACCAGCAGGTGGGCATTTAGCATCTTTAGTTAAGACAGAAGTAGTTTGTGTGCCTCAACCCTGGTCATGCTTTCTTAACTTTATGCTGTCATAGAGCTATGCCTCAAAGCAAAACTCAACAAAGACATGATGAGCGCATATTTAGTATTGCAATTGTTATGGGCAGAAATGCAACCCAGGTTTGCTGTCTCAGCCACTCATTTTTGAAATTGGTTGTTCCTGTTCATCATTTACTTATTGGCCCTTCAGAATAATCTTCGTGTTACAACATGAGATTTATTAGAATTTTGACTTAAACTAGTTACGTTATAGATGCTGTGAACTAGTCTTCCTAATATTCTAGTACTTGCTTCCGTGTCTGATTGTCACTTCTGCAGACTTGTCTGGTCTTGCTACTTCCTGCTCCTTTTTTCTTCACCCAGAGGCCACAGTATGGAGGACAGGCCTTCTGAGGCAGCTGCTTCAGATCTGCCCACCAGAGAGGAGCACATGTTCACATGCTGCCTATCAGTACTCCATAGCTGTTGGCTGAGTTAGGTGGAAGTTTTGATTACTTTTTGTACAAATTTCAGTATCTCTTTAACCCTTCCTTTTATATGAAGATGGTACATGTATATCAAACCAGTAGTTTCTAAATCCCAGTGCTCTTCGCTTTGCTATTTTATCAGACTTCATGATCATGCTTTTTATGTTTTAATGTATGCAAACAGTTGTGGCTCAGTTAAGTATGAAACTGTCCTCAGTAAATGAACTTGAAAACTTGGCACCAAATTTATTCAGGTAGAAACTTTGAAAAAAAATTGTTTCTTCCTATTGTTAACTGAACAATACGTATAAGCTCTATAATTATATATAAAAGTTGGATACCAAAGGGTTAAAAATACACGTATTTATTTAATTGAAGTAATTTCGGATGTTGCTAATGTTTTGACTGTACAAATGGACATTTAGTAATGTTTTTATCTTTTTTTTAATGATTCCATTTATTTGCTTATTTCCATCTAGGAATAGTTACTAATGTATTTGCGATACAGCATACCAAATTTTAAAGTAACCAGAATCGTGAGTTGATGGTTTTTAGTCCATACTGTTAAACTTTCATTGAAATATTTGACATAGTTAAATTGGCTTCATGCTAAAGTGACCAGAGGTCATAGAAGGCAGCACTGCCGGGCACTGCTCGTGCCGGTGGTCACACACCAGCGGCCTAGCTCCATGACTGCTTCTGCAACTCGTGTGTGTATGTATCTTTAATCCAAATGTTGCCTGCAAATGTGATCCCGTATTATTTAAGTTTCCTGTGTATAAACCATTGCCCGTTTACGTCACGCAGAAGATTCTGAATCTGTAAAAACCACACATGTCAATGTTTTACAGCTGCGTAATTCGAATTGACTTGATTTTTTCAAGTAACCCTAGAAAGGGGGAGCATTCCTATAGAAACTGCTGAAACTGCCACAGGTGCTTCTCCGAAACCTTACGGTTGTGGCATTGAATGTTCAGTATCGCTTCCTTTCTGCACACAAGGCATACTGTTGAGGTATTTGTTGCGGTGATTGGTTTTAATGCTAATCTAGGAATTCAGATATAGATTCTTTAGATTTGCATGCTTTGCTTACCCTAATTTATGATATCTACCTTTTTATTTGTAAACTAACAATAGCTAAATTGAGATCAGAATTTTAACAGAAATTTTATTTATGTAAACATTGTGGTTATCTTTTATTGTCACATGGCATTAAGAAAAAGAAAACATTCTGAGGGTGGTAAGATGCCTCAGATTCTAAAAACTGTTTCCTAATCTGCTCTGATCAAATGGCTTCTCGGTCCTGGCATTGTGGCACTGTAAGTGGACACCCAGAAGGACACAGCTGACCTCAGCATGGAGCTAGTTCATTCTCAAGTTCCCTTGGAGGACTTCTTAGGTACAGTAAAATTTACATACTGCCTTCAGAATATTACTACAGTTTGATTCCTTTCTGCTAGTCTGTCTGACAGAATACTAAATTCATAATGAAGATTGTTCTGTCTACTCAGGTGCTGGTATTTCAAAGACCAGCCAGAGGGCTAGGTATAGCCCAGTGGCAGAACATTTACTCAGCATACATGAAGTCGTACGTTTGACCCCAGCACACAAAGAGACATTGAACAGACACTAGTATAGGAAGGGTTAGGAGACTGGGTGCCCACCCAGGATACGTCTGACAGACAGTAGCATGAGTTTGCTCAGGAAGCACAGCAAAGTTTTTTAAACTTCACACAACTAGAATCCCTTTAAACATTAACTTGTTTTTTTTTTTTTTAATTCTTTGAAGTGGCTACCCATTTTCAAAGATGTCTCAGATGGATGTTGGACCAGAGGGCAGAGCAGAGCTCTCGTGTGACTTGGTAGTCCACTCTTTGGTTGTCACATGTGGACAGAGGTAAACCTGTATGGCAGTCACAGCCTGTGCCCAGGGGAATCACACTTCAGACCTAAATTCAGAGAGTATGTCGTGCAAAGATAAAGTCTAAAAATACAGTGTGCACAACTTCATTTATACCACAGACTTCAACATTCTTCCATCCAGTTTCAAACTCCCTTCTGATTCCTAGGGTGGGCAGATGCGGCCAACCCAGAGCTTTGTCCTGTCGGCTGGTCTTGCTTATTCATGTAGTCCCTGCACTGGGAAGCATGGCATGAGCTGTCCATTTCTTCTGAGCTCTTCTTTTAGTTAAAATAAATTTAGAAAACAGTGCCAGAATCACCCAGAAGTCGGGTTGGTTCTAATTCAAGTGTGATGTGCCAATAATTATATTTTTAGTGGGCAATCAGGTGAGGCCTGGAACCAGCCAGCGGGCTTGGGTGTGTCTGGCAGTCTGCACACTCCCTGCCAGTCATGCCTCTTCTCCCTGAATGGTCATTCAGATTGAAATTGAAAGCTTAGTGCTGGGTAGTTTACTCTGTCACTCACTGAAGAGCACTTTTCCTGTCAGCTGTCGTTAGTGCTCATATCTGAGGAGACTCCTCTCTAGCGCTCCTATCTCTCCTGACTCTACTCCACTCTATATTCTTCGATGTTAAGACAGCGAGACCCAGGACTTGGCTCAGAAATGATGATTTTATGAACTTTGCTTCTCTTCCCTGTCTCTTCTAAGTCAGGAGTTCATGGATTTTTACACAGAGCTTGTGTTTGGCAGAGTAGGCTAGTCTAGACCGTCTTCACTCTGGTTGATGATGCCGGTGCAGTTTTGTGGAAGTCGCCCTGCTGTGAACTGAGAGCCATGCAGGGCTTGTGTCCACTCAGTAACAAGGAGGTCCTTGTGCTGGAACAGTGTATGTAGTTCACTTTGGTGGTTTAGTTTGTGAAAGTTGAAATGGTGCTATGACAGACTATTTGTCAGAATTCACAACCATAAAGTCTTAGGAAAAACAAAATATTAATTTTAGTTCCTAACAATCCAATACATAATTACCTTTTACTTATAAACAAATTTTTGTCAAATTACTGTGAATCTCAAGTCTTATTTTATGTCTCATTAAATTGGACTTGGGTTTTTCTTCCAATTATATACTGCATTTCTTTATCTGAGGCTTTCAGAGTAGATATGTTTAGAGAATGAATGTCCAAATACCCATAATTTTTTTTTTATTTCTGAGACTAGAGCTTTAGGTCAGCTTGGAAATATGAATATAAAAGGAACTTAATAAATATATGAATTTAAAAGGATATACCTAACCGTTAAAAATAAAAACTTTTGTCCCTGCATGTGTAGTTTTGCTCTCAGATTGTTTTTTTTGCCGTAGCAGTAACCCCACAAAGCACAAACGCTCAGGGTTGAGTTGGTTTTGTCTGGGGCACTAGGGAGGTCTTCATTTGACCATATCTTGGCTGGGCCTGTGGCCTGGCTGGCTGAAGAGGTCTGGAAGCTGTCTTTGCTGTTGAGCACTGCTCTAGTTCCTGTTTTATCAGTCTGTGGTTGTCATGGGATAAGTTCATGGGAAAGCCCTGTCCCCTCTTGTCCACAGGGGACTTTAATATGGAGCTGCTTTTGTTGCTTCACTTTCTTTTTTCTTTTTTAAATGTAATGAAACTTTATTTGGAATTTTGAGGATTCCCCATTTTTAATTTTTTGATTGTTATCATAAAGGTGGTGTACAGAGGAGTTACAAGTACATAATGCTGCCTCACTTTCAGTCTTAGTCTCCTCACATTTACACGTTTGGCTGATTGTTTCATGTTATTCAGTTCTGTCACGAAAGTTCCTCCAACACTTCCTACTTGATGAGTCTCAGTATGACAGAAGACATGAGGTCTTTACCTCGTAGTGTTACTGGACAAAAGGAAAGTAGGGTGTCAGCCCAGGAGATGGGTTCCAAAGGCAGTGTTAGAGGCTTTTGAAAGCAAATGTCCACACATACCCCAAGAGGTCAGCAGGTAATAATCCTGCAGATTCCCTGCACAAGGCCCCAAAGGCCGAATGAAATGCAGCTTTCCAGATAGTGAGTCCACTTGATGGTAGATCATTGTGATACCAGAGAGCCCCCAGACCTCTACTTACAGTGCCACATGTCAGCTGAACCCTGACTCGTTGCTAAGCCAAGACTTTGTTTGAAAGAAGCCACTTGCTATAAATGCCACAGACAATGCTAGTGTATGTTTGTTTGTTATGATTTACTCAAGCTAAAGGATAATATAGAGTTCAGTTTTAGGTGAAGTCTGAAGTAGTTTAAATTTAGATTCTTCAGACTAATTTAAGATGTGATTTTGAGAAGTTGAATAGGAAGATGCCTTTTTAAATTTAGTGTCTTGATTTTTAAATTAATATCTCCCAAAATCTTGCTTAGAAATCACGTATGTATTAGAGAAGATAGTTAGGGAGCCAGGGTGATTAACTGCTCCCCTAACGAGGATTTTCTGTAAATTGACTGGCTTTTCCATATCACCTCAGATAGATAGTCAGTTCAGTGGGAGCAGAGACCCACTCGATGCCAATGGGGTTTAATTCAGTGTTTTTGTGTTGTGCAGCCTGAGAAATGCCAGTGGCCTGACAGCAGCAGACATTGCCCAAACCCAGGGTTTCCGGGAGTGCACCCAGTTTCTCTTGAGCCTCCGGAACCACCATCTGAGCCGTTTCTATCATAATGGCACTCTGACTGGGAGTCATGAGAACGTGTTTCCCGATTGCGTTAGTGCGGGAACAAATCGAAAACGATGTCTGGAAGATGTGGCGTCCTCAGGAGTGAAGAAAGCTAGAACTGGAGGTGAGACCACTTGGGGTGGGACAGAGCAGGGGCTGCCACCTTAGCAAGTCTCCTTTCATGGCTGTGGGCATCTTCCAGCAAGCCATGTGTGCCAAGGTGGAGAACTGTCCATGTGGCCACTGTGAGGATGAAGGCTGGCGGGGTGCCACCCACATGTGCTTTCTTCATTGGAATTGTTAAAAAATGCAACTATTAAAAAAGAAGTCTGCCACCAAGCCTGATTTTTTTTCTTTAAAATTTCTTTGGACTGTTCCTGAGCTTATAAAAATTGCCAGTGATCTGAGAATAAAAGTTCTTTTCCTACTTTTTCTGTCATGTCACCACAGGCACAGGGTGTGACCTGGTCTCGTCCCTGTGTCTTATGTATTGCAAATTCATTTATTAACTTGAAGTTGAGGAATTTGGGTAAGTAAGGTTGTTTTTCTTAAAAACAGTTTTGGAGTTTTGCGCAGTAGCAGCCACTGGTCACTCTTAAGATGGAGAGTCTCCCACAGACAGGCTGCCAGTGCCTGCACGTCAGACTCCCAGCCAGAGGCATGTCTAAACTGCCTCTGCTTGCTTATAAATCCCCTCAACCAAGGATCAGTGTCTGGCTTAACCAGAGCATCTAGGGACAGGGACCCATGAGTGTGAAATCGGCTGAAATCACAGACTATGTCGAGACTTGCTTAGGGTGGTCACAAGTTGTGTCCCGCGGTCTTAAAAGAAATGCAGTCAAAGTAGACAGGTAGATACTGGGCCCAGCGCCAGCCTCACTCACCGTAACCTTTACTGTGAAGCCGTGTTTGTAAATCTCACCACTAAAAATTCCTTGTGTCTATGTCACTTTTTGTAGAAGTTTGCATATATAGGATTGTGTGTGAATTTAAATGCAATAGTTCATCAACATTTTAAGTTACAGGCCTAATAATTTCCAGAAAAGAAACGAAAGTCATGAAGCAAGTATGAGTAGATTTCAGGATGATTTTTTTTCTTAATGAAGTGTCCACTGTCATTTGTACCACATTCTAGTGAACATTTTGGTGCTGGGAAGGTAGCTCAGTAATAGAGTGCATGCCTTGCATGCATGAGGCCCTGGGTTCGATTCCTCAGTAACACATAGGCAAAAAAGGCTGGAAGTGGCACTGTGGCTCAAGTGGTATAGCGCTAGCTTTAAGCTGAAGAGCTGGGGAACAGCACCCAGGCCCAGAGTTCAGGCCACACAACCGACAATAAATAAGTAAATAAATAAATAAATAAAATGTATATTAAAATCCCTTTTAAGCTGGGTGCTGATGGCTCATACCTATAATCCTAGCTACTCAGAAGGCTGAGATCTGAAAATTGTGGTTCAAGTCCTCTCTATGCAAGAAAAGGAAACTCTAAACGCCCAATTAACTACCAAAATTTCAAAAGGGGACCTGTGGCTCAAGTGATAGAGCACTATCCTTGGGGATAGAAGCTTAGGGGATAGCACCCAGACCCTGAGTTCAAGCCCCTGGACCAATGCCAAACAAAAAACAACCAAAAAAAAGCCTTTTAAAGCATCTATTTTGACTAGTTGGGGGACAGAGGTGACGTCACAAGAGTGTTATATAGTTCAAGGCAAAACCGGGCAAAAATGTCACAAGATCCTGTATCAATAAAAAGTTAGGACATGCCATAATCCCAGCTACTCAGGAGGCTATGATCTGAGGATCGTAGTTCAAAAGACCCCATGAGACTCTTATCTCCAGTTAATCACCTGAAAATGAAGTGGCACAGTGGCTCAAGTGGTAGAGTGCTAGCCTTGAGTTGAAGAGCTCAGAGTTCAAGCCCCACAGACACTATCTAAAAAATAACCGGAAGAAAAAGCTGGACATATGGCTCATACAGTAGAGCACCTGTCTAACAACCACCAGGCCCAGAGTTCAAACCCCAGTATCACCCAAAAGAAGCATCTACTTTTAAAAAGTTTGCAGTTTCACTTTATGCCTGGTTAATATAGTGAGATGATATTTAGTGTTGGCCTTTTTATACCGTCATGTATCAATTGTACATTGCGGTGTTATAAGTATCCTTTCAAAGTGGTTGATGCTTTGTTTTCCCTTGTTAAATTTAAATTGTGTCTTTAAAAGGTCTCACTAATTGGATTTTTTAAATTAGATTCAGAAATACTAGACCCTAAGGAATATTTTAAACTAATCTCAGAGTTTTTCATGTCAGTTGAATTTGCCAATTTCTTATTGCTTAAGTATTCTGAAAAGTATTTCTTAGGGATTCCTTAAGTCACCTAAACCTTATCACTGCACAGATTTGGCTGGTGTCCTGTTGATTTCTAGTTGACTGGTGGGTACAGTGGTAGAGGTTCAGTTACCACATCCAACTCACCACGAGTCCTTCCCACTCAGGCCATCTTTGTGTTCAGCCTGAGGGTGCTCATACAGAAACAATGTGTGCTCCAGCCTAGCTTGTCCTCTCAGGATGAAATGGCAAACAACTGTTTAGGGATGCACATTCTGGAGCATGAGTTTCTGTGCGCTTCAAGGAAGGGTGTCTTTGTGCCATGATACACGATTGTAGCTCTTCCTTCCTGTTCCTGATTTGTCTGCTCATTGCAACTTAGTGACAGATCTCCTAGCATTGCTCATACTTCAGTACCTCATGTGGTTCAGAGCCCTTGGGTGTGACCCTTATGCACTTGTGTGTTTCGAGCAGCTGGGTGTTTGTGTTCCTTCTACTGCTGTTCTCACTGTCAGGTGCTGCATGGTGCTCACCAGAACATCTGCATCCCCAGTTACACATGTCCTGAGTGTCTTGGTTTAGATAGTTTTGTCCATCCTCAGACCAGCCTTGTACTGCGCAATTCAAAACAGGTTGCTTCTTTGCATTATAATTACTACTTTTTGTTTGATTTTCTGATTAAATGGATGGAAGTTTTGCTGTCTCGACTTTAGTCACTTTGTTAAACTTTTTTATCCTCATGCCAGAGTAAAAATAAGAATACCCATTCATGCATATAAAATACTTTTAAAATAATTTTACATAAAAAATATTACAAGAGGACTGGGAAGGTAGCTCAGTGGTAGAATGCTTGCCTCACATGTATGAGGCAGTGAGTGCTGTGGCTCAAGTGGTAGAGCACTAGCCTTGAGCTGAAGAGCCCAGGGACAGCGCCCAGGCCCAGAATTCAAGCCCCATGATTGACATACATACGTATACATATAGATGTATATATATGTAAATGTATATGTATGTGTATGTGAGTGTATATGTGAGTGGAAGTTGGTCTTTTTTTTCTTTCTCCACTTATTTCAAAAAATTTTTAGCCAGGTATATATAATCCTAACTAGACTTGGAAGCCAGCCAACAGAAAGTCTGAGGTATTCTTATCTCTAAAATAATCACCACAAAACTGGAGGCATGATTCAGAACGCCAACCCAAGCAAGTAAGCTGAGCAAGCACAAGACCTTGAATTTAATTTACCAGCCCCTGGGTAATACTGACCAAGAATAGATACATAGTTCGGACTTTATTAATTTAAGTCTGTTTTGTCCTGCAATCTGAGAATCATATGTGATGATTTAAGGTATAGAATTTATAGTCATAAAAACAATACCTCCCAGGCACTGGTGGCTCACGCCTGTAATCCTAGCTACTCAGGAGGCTGAGAACTCAGGATCATGATTCAAAGCCAGCCCAGGCAGAAAAGTCTGTGAGACTCCTTTTTTTGGGGGGGGGTTCCGGTTATGGGGCCTGAACTCTGGGCCTGGGCGCTGTCCCTCAGCTCTTCAGCTCAAGGCTAGCACTCTACCACTTGAGCCACAGTGCCACTTCCAGCTTTTTTCTTTTTGTTTATGCGGTGCTGAGGGATCGAACCCAGGGCCTCATGCATGAAAGGCAAGCACTCTACCACTGAGCCACCTTCCCAACCCCGAGACTCTTATCTCCAATAAACCACTCAAAACTGGAAGTGGCACTGGTTCAAGTGGTAGAGCGCTAGCTTTGAGCTGAAGGGCTGAGGGACAGCACCCAGGCCCAGAGTTGAAGCCCCATGATAGACCAAAAAAAAAAAAAAAAGCAATCCCTCAAATTTTTCTAGCTAAGCCAGCTCTTAAAGGGATTCTTATAAAATATGCTTTGGGGCTGGGAAGGTGGCTCAGTGGTAGAGCACTTGCCTTGCATGCATGAGGCCCTGGGTTCAATTCCTCAGCACCACATAAGCAAAAAGAAAAAAGCTGGAAGTGGCACTGTGGCTCAAGTGGTAGAGCGCTAGCCTTGAGCTGAAGAGCTGAGGGACAGCTCCCAGGCCCAGAGTTCAGGCCCCACGACCGGACCCCAAAAAATAATAAAATATGCTTTTGTTTTGAACTTGGGGACATGTTCCCACTTTTCTATAGAAACAGTATCTATGCATGTTCAGTAGCTTTCAAGCATTGTAAGTTGGGGCTGTTTTCCCTTGGGAAATGAAGTGCTATAAATCATAAGTGAATAGCTGATTGCCTTGAGTATAAAATAAACTTGCGTAAAGTTACTCAAGTCCCAGGTACAGTCTGGTTGAAATGGAGACGGCCAGTGTGGGCACAGCTTGGGGGTAGTGGTGATAAAATCTCAAGTTCCTTGAGTAGTGGTTTTGATGAAGAGTGGGGGTCATGTTCCCCCGGTATGGGGTTTGCCCATATTGTGGTGCAAGTTAGCCAGTGTGTGTCCTCTTCTGTTTATCAACCATTCACATTAGGACCGCAGAACTGCAAAACAGCTACTTACCTCTTCCATAGCTGTTGATTTAGGTTTGTTAGTGTCCCAGGCTAAGCAAATGCAGTATACATTGCACATAGGTATTCCTTGAAACTCAGATCCCATCTCTTCTGTGGTGGATTCCTTTGGTGGTTCAGGCCAGGAGCCCTCTGTGCTCTAATTGGAAGCCACTGCCTTGAGTAGATGTCGTGGGAGCAGGACCACCAATGTATGCAGTTGATGTAGAGACTCCATAGTTAATGAAAAGACATTTTTTTTTAGGAAAGACATCTGCTGCAGTATTGTGATGTAATTTTAAACCAGCCCTGCAAAGTTTCCCAGTACACTTCGTTTCAGAATGCATTGAACAGGAATAAAGAATCTCCTTTTTACAATTAAAAAAAAAAAAAGAATCTCCTTTTTGTATTCTTAATAACTCTTGAACACACAGAAGAGTTGTGGCTGGTTGTGGTAGTCGATACCTGTAACCCCAGCTACTTGATTTGTGGAGGTAGGATATGGATTAGGTTCAAGGACACCCCAGGCAAGGTTTGGCTACACCCTTCCTATCAGAAAAATAGTCTAGCTGTGGTAGTCCATTTCTGCAGTCGCAGCTTGTTTCACGGAGCCTAGGAGTGCCTCAGTTTGAGAACAACCTGAGCTAAGCTGGCTGGAAAGCTTATCTGAAAAAAAACAAAAGGATTGGGGATGAAGCTCAAATGGTAGAGCACTTTAGCCCCAAGTTCAATCCCAGTGCCACAAAATCAAAAAGAACTCAGGACTAGCCCGTTTGGGAAAGAACAGACGTTTATTAGTTGCCTTAACATGAGATGTCAAAAAGAAAATACTTTGCAGGTATACAGTTAAAATTCCTTCAAGTTGTTAGAACAGAATCCACTTTAGCTTCTCACTGGCTTAGTGTTCTCAGATTCGCGTGACAGGTGCTTTCAGAGTTCAGCAGCAGTGGGAGCGTGCCTCCTGCTTTCTCAGTGTGATGGCCCTAGAGACGTGCTTTGTAGCACACACGTTCCACTGTAAGGATCACAGTGCCTTATGTCCACCTCTTCTCTGCAGTGTTTGAACAAACCCTGCCCCTCTTTTGTCTTCTCAGCCTTTCTTGTATCCCCTAAGCTCTCTGCTGTTGGAGTTCCAGCATTGGCAGAAGTTCAGGCACCACACAAGGTCCACCCTGTAGTCCAAGAACCTTGCTTTGAACCTTGAGAGCTGGTTAACAATAGAACCTTCCTAAGAAAAAGTAGACATTTAAGCCTGGTGTGGTGAAGGTCCTTAATCCCAGTATTTGAGAGCTGGAGGCAGAGTAGATTCACAAGTTTGAGGACAGGCTGGCCTATACATATAAGCAAAGCTGGACCCAAAACAAAGACAAAAACCCAGATGCTTAAGTCAGCACCCTTGTGGTTCACAGTGGCAGATGGAAATGGAAAGGGACATGGTGTGTGCTTGCTCCTTTAGGGGAGCTGAGGCCTCTGTAGCTCGTGTCTCCAGTGCTACCTGCACACATGAGAAGAGAAAGTGCCTTGGGGTTGGGGGACAACCTGCCTGGCACTGCTTAGGGAGTAGGTGGTCCTGGCTGATCTCTCGAGTTCATTGCAGAGAAGTCCTTGGCAAACTTGGTGTCTGCCCTGTGGCCCTAAGGACGTGGCGCTGTCGGCAGGCCTGGGAGCGGTGACCTGGCTAACGAGCAGCTTCGTCATGTAGCAGTGTCAGACACTTGGTCTTAAAATAGGCCCCGGTGCATTTGCACATGTGCTGGCAGTGAGTCTTGCACTGCCCCCTGTGCCCTGCAGGCCAATAGAGTATTAGGCCACATACCCCCTTCTGCCACGGTCAGCATTCAGACAAGGCTACAGCGGGCGGTCATGGTGTCCAGTTACATTATTTCCACAGCGCAGCCCACCTTCTCAGTTGGAGAAGTCCCTACACCCTCTATTCATGCTCCTGCCGGTTCCAATCTCGCTGTAGAGGATTGCTGACAACTGGCGCTTCCATCTTGTTCTCCTTTTGGCTATTGAGTAGCCCTGTACACCCACCCTGGTTGGAGGAGATGGTGAGGTTCAGAACCCATCCTGCATTCGCATCTCACAGGCACTGGAAGCCTGACCTCCCATGGTACCGGCTCGGGCGTCCCAAATGGAAGATGTACTTACCCTAACATTTCCAGGAAAGGCAGCTGGTTTTAGAGTCAACAAAAGGAAGTGGGGAGAGAGCGGCCTTCCTAAGTGCAATGAGCAGACCTCTCCTGACATGCCTGCAGGCCTCCTTTCCCAGACACAGCTCGGGAGCTAGTGGAGAGCATGCCCTGGGTGCTGTGATTGAGGCAGACGGAGCCCAAAGCTGGAATGCTTTCGACTTCAGAGGCCAGTGCGCTTTCAGGGCTTATTACTAGTCCTAGAGGCTAGGATCTGAAGATCATGGTCCAGAGCCAGCCCTGCAGGAAAAGTCCCTGAGACTCTTATCTCCAGTTAACTATCAGAAAACCAGAAGTGGCGCTGTGGTTCAAGTGAGCACCTGGCCCAGAGTTCAAGCCCCATGACTTATAGGAAAAAAACAATTTCTCATTGTGAAGGAGGAGGGGTTATCCACATAAAACCACAGGGCCTAAGTGTCTAGACAGGCGATGGTGGAATGATCACAGCACAGAGGCTCAGGAGCTGGCGGGGGGGAGGGGGAGAATGGGACCCTAGGAAGGTATTGAGAGGTTCTCACACTGATTTCTTGCTTGCTGAAATTGGAGATCCTTCCATTCTTGCCCTGCTTTCTGTGTTCACAGTCACCTTAGAACGTAGGCACCCACTGAACTGAACCCTCTCGGAGGTCCTCATTAGGGGTTTGTTTTGCTATAGATTGAGCCTCAATCCCAATGGTTGCCATGTTGGGATTACTCCACAGAGTATCCTCAGGTGTCCCCGTGGGGCCCTGGTTCACAAGTCACCACAGCCATCCTGCCTGAGGTCATTTAGACGGGTAGGAGAGCCCCATATATGTAGTGGCATTGGGGATTGAACCCAGGAAGTAGCTGGGCAGTATCCAGCTACTTGAGTTTTGTCTGCAGCTGAGGTTCTTAGGATTTCGTGGTATTCGAATTGTTAATAGTTTGTCCTGTTCGTCCCCTGCCTCCTCGGTAGTGAGTGTCCCTCCTTGCTTGACCTAGAACTGTCTTGGGCCCTGGATGCAGAGAAGAAAGAAAAACCTCACCCTGCTTCATGAGGCTTCCCCGCCCCCATCCCACCCCCCCCCATATCCTAATCTGTCAGGTGTTTTTTAAACCTGCTTTTCAGAGGGGTGACGTGACAAAAATAACTCTTCTTGCCTTGTTACACAAAGATACTGAGCCACTACTCAGTGGCTCCAGCTGGGAGCGTCTTGGCAAGAGCTGTCCAGCCCTGAGTCACACACAGCCCTCCTCCACCACCACCTCTTCCCCCCTCCCGCCCCCTGCCCCAAGTGGCCCATCTGCTGCTGGTCTTTGGGAAGTGCATCCTAGGTTGGCAGTGAAGGTAGATTCCAGAGCTCTGGGTGGAAAGCCTGAAGCTCTGGTTTCAGAGCACCTGCCTGGCCTCGCCCCAGCTCAGATGCCTTTCCTCGGCTCTAGAAATCCCGTTGCTCTGTTTCTGCCTCTACCTTACGCTGATCATTCATAATTGGGTTCTGGTTCTCTACATGGTGTCTCTGGGGAACAGTAGAGGACTAGCAGTTGCTAGTGACTTGTGCTTCTAAAATTATCACTAAAGCCACACAGCTCAGTTCTCTATTTTTAAATGTATTGCTCCAAGTTATTTGTATTCTTTGGCCCAGAAACAATTCTGAATATTTCAGAATCTGGAATGCATCAGAGATGCACTTGTGTATATTAATTAGATATGTGTGAAAGGGAAAGGAAGCAAGTGCACAGGCAGCTCCAGGGACTTCAGTGAGGTGAGTTGTAATTCATGTAGCTGTCAGCTGAAGTAGTTTGCTGGGGGGGGGGGGGTTGTGCTGCTACTGGGGCTTGAAATCAGGACCTAGTACCCCCACTCTGCTTTTTCACTCCCAGCTGGGGCACTTTACCTCTTAAGACCTGCCTCCAGTTCTGGCTCTTTTCTTGTTAATCAGAGATGTAAGTCTCCAGGATTGTCTGCTAGGGGGCTGGCTTTGAACTTTTTTTTTTCTTTTTTTGGTTGTGGGGCTTGAACTCTGGGTCTGGGGGCTGTTCCTCAGTTCTTCACCACTTAGCCACAGCGCCATTTCCGGTTTTTGAGTGGTTAATTAGAGATGAGTCTCTCAGGGACTTTCCTGTCCAGGCTGGCTTTGAACCTCTATACTCAGGTCTCAGCCTCCTGAGTAACTAGGATTACAGGTGTGAGCCACCAGCATCCAGTCTGATGCCTTTTGTTAGTGGAATTAGTGAATTTTTTAAAACTTGAACATGGTTTCTTCAGTGGTTTTAAATGGTTCTCCAAAGAGCCTCTTGATGTTCTTAAAAGGGCAGTCAGAATATTTGCTGTCTAGTAAATGTAGGCAGGGGATCTAGAATTTATGACTTTTAATTGAAATCATGTTTCAAGACATAAAATTTATTGTGGAAAATGATTTCTCCCTAGTATCCAGAGTTCATTAGTGACCTTTGCTTTTTTGATTCCTTGACAGCTTTAAAGTCATCAATACTGCTCAGTTTTGTCAGTATGACTTTCTTATCTGTACAGTTATCTAAAATGTCTTTGTTTCTGTGCAGCTCCAACCCTGGATTATGTCATGCCACTAGTGAATGGTGAGCTTGAAGACGACGCGGACAAAATGCACATTGATAGAGAGCTTGCCACTGAAACAGGTGGGAGTGGACAGTTTCCTGTTAGCTGCAACAACAGCCCAGTGGTCGAAGACACCGAGCCACGGGAGAGTGGTTCTGTTGGACCCAAAGAAATAGAAATATATACTGTTTCAGCAATGCAAACCCCTTGTCGTTGCAAGAATCAGTATGCATATTATTTCTGACAGCACTTTCTCTCAAACTTGTCTGCACTTGGTTGTCCAGTATCTTTTAAGAACTGTTATCCTGTCATTCGCATCTCTTAGGCAGGCGTATAGATTCACAGATTAGTGTTGCTGCATACTGTGGATGTGAGAAAGGGAAGTGCAGTCTTGCTGTCCTCATTCAAGCTTTCACTTAATGTGCCTTGCTTAATTTTTAATGGGGTTTGCGGTGTTAGTGTTCTGATCTCACCTTGGGGCAAATGTATTGAATGCTGCCAGTGCCAGTGTCCACAAAAAAGACCCTGCGGCTTGCTGCAAACATGGATCCCGGTAGACACAGTGGCCCTGACACGTGTGCCCCTGTGCCAGAATGAGGTCCCCCACCCTAAGACATTCAAGTGCAGAGCAGTTTCTCAAAGCATCGTACATGTGAAATGTTTAGCATATGCAAGCTAATTGTCGTATGTTTAAAAGTTTCCTTTAGCACTTAGAATGTTTTAAGGATTTCTCTGTTTAGCTCATGCTTTTACCATTCTCTTTTGTCTAGGTGACCAGAAAAGTAGTTTGGCTTTTTTTTTTTAAGTTTTGTTGTATCTTTATGTTAAATTCTTTTTTTTTCTTTTTTTTGTTATACAAAGGGATTTCAGTATGCTAAGTTTCTCATGAGGAGTAAAAACTCTTTTTTTTTTTCCCCAGGCCCACATGAAAGCACTATTTCCATAAACTGAGTGGAAAATGCTGAGCTCCTTTTGGGAGCCATGGGGTTGTTCTAAGCAGGGCTAGCCTTCTGCCAAATAACTAAACAAAATGGGTGACTTTCCACTTGTTCTGATCAGATAGTATATTGAAACTCTGTGTTTCCTGTAGTTTGGGACTATTTGCTTGACTAAAGATGAAATCCAAAACTTAAAGCCTGCTTGGCTGGATGCTCAGACAGAAACAACCCCTGTTGATCAGCAGGGTGGGGTACTGAGCTGACCAGCAGCAAGCAGGCTGCCCTGGTCAGCTCAGCCCTGGTCTTCCACCACAGTTCTGTACACTCGGAGAAGACAGAGGAAACTGTCCTGTGCCCAGAGTTTGCGGGAACTGCTGCCTACTTTTGTAGAGAAGGGATACAGGCCTCAGCCTGTTGTCCCTTAAATATTCATATACATCTTCTGGCCAAAATTTTTTTTAAGACAGTACCTTTTTAAAAAGCTTCTTAAATAATACCTTTGTATTTTGAATGCTCGTCGGTTGAGGGCCACAGAAAGACTTACAAGAGGACAGTGCCTGCTCCTCACCAGTTCTTTGGTAGTGTCCCAGCTGCCTGGAGGACACAGTGGCTGTGGCTGTGGGTGGCCCTGTAGGTGGATGGGAAGTGTGGAAGGCCTTGCCATCCAGCTCAAAACAGAGGAAAGGTGAGCTGCAGAGCGCCACCTAGGGATAGTCTGCTGCACATCTCTCCAGGGCATCATCGCTTCTGACCCTCAGCTGGTTATGCATCCCAGGACAAGGTCAGGGCCTTGAATTCAAATGAAGCAGTAAAACTTGTTTTATTTCAGTTGGGTGTTAAAGAAAGATCTGCTTACTTTGTGTTGGTAAACTGCACACTCAGTGATGATCACCACAGCTGCCATCGCACTTAGGAGTTTCATCCACTAGGAAAGGTGCTTTGCACTTTGTTTCTGTAATACATTTTGCCCTGGGAATAGCTTTCTTATTTTAAAGTATATTTGCAATTTAGCTCTTGAAATCTTTGTCTTCTAGCCTAACTTTTAACTAGAAAAGCTATCACTTGATTTGGTAAAATGCTATTATCTTTAGCAAAGGCACAACAGTTATTAAGTTGCGATTGTTGTTTAAATTGCCAAGACGATCAGGAGGGAATGTTGATCAGTAAACAGCTGGACTGTTTCTTGGCAGGAAGTCTGCCAAGACACAGAGGCCTCTGTCAGGGTTGGAGTGATGAATAGAAAGGAAGCTCTTGGAAACACCCCCATCAGGAAAGTCAGAGTGTTCACAATGTGCCCTCCTACAGGCCACTAGATCGGAGCTCTTCTGTATTGCTACCATGCCTTATCTGGACAGCCTCACACAAATGAAATAAAATTTCATGTTACTGGTGAGCACCTGAGGCCCATGCCTATGAATTCAGCTATGTTGAGGCAGAGAATGGGAAAATCACAGCTTGAGGCCAGCCTAGGCAGGAGAGTTCAGGAGAGCCCTTCCTCAGCCCCTAGCTGGGCACCATGGTGCAGTCTGCCATCCCAACCTAGGGAGGGTGGACCTATGAAACCACTCTGGACAGCCAAGTTCTCAGGACTCCTTCCTTCCCATGGAGGTGGGGGAAGGGCTGGGTGTGGTGAGGGCAGTGACAGCTAGACTGTGGCCTGGGTGCACACCTAGGCAGGAGGTGACCCTGTCCTAAAAACACAGGGTGAGAAAGAGGACCAGAAGCACAACTCAGCAGCAGCAGGCCAGACCAGCAAGCACAAGGCCAGGCCCTGAGCTCCAACACCAGCACCACCAAGAGCTACACTTGTGAATTCCTTAGCCCAGGCATTTGTGAGGGTTGTTTTTTTTTCTTTTTTCTTTCTTTCTTTTTTTTTTTTTTTGGTAGGACAACTCTGTCCCAAAGGATGTCTGTGCGGGTTAAATGCCACAGCTGGTAGATGAGGCCCTAGCCAGCATGGCCAGCACTATGCTCTTGTCCAAGGCATTGAGAGGTGCTGGCATCAGCCTTGGGGGAATCTGGGGTTTGGGAGTCACATAATCAGTTCTCTTTACAATTCCTGTGTGCACTGTGAGGAACGAGGCTTTAGAGGTGTCCTGGGATGGAGCTGCCTTGATTAACCTGTCCTGTTCACCTGTCCTTTCCCTCCTCCTCCCCACTTCAAGTACTGCAACAGTGTTGTGTTTGGCTTTCACCTCATAGAATGCTTTACATCCCATGTGGATGAACCCTTTTCACAGTGAATTTAGAGCTGCTTTTCAGAAGTCATATTAAAAAGAGAACATACTGGATGGCTCTTGTGTATTTGGAGTTTTTCACACACACACATTTTTCCTATCGTACCAGGCACACACTACCCTCGTGCTTTATTTTTAAATCTACCTGTGCATACTTTTAAACTTTACTAAAGACATTGGTTTATATAGAAGAAAAAAAAAGCAACAGAAAAGAAACTAAATGTCTTAACCCGTTGTGGCAGCCATGACACATTGTATAGTTTCTTTTCCCCCATCTGGTTCTGAGCTTTGATGACAGGTGTATTTCTTAATGCAGATATGAGAAACAGTAGCTCCACGTCGAATACATTGACAAATGGATGTGTCATCAATGGACATATGGACTTCCCCTGCATGACCCAGCCCAGTGGGATGGAAAGCGGGAATGACCCATGCCTAGCAGGCTCTAACGGAGTTAGCAATGGATTAGTTCCAGGACAGCCATTTCCAGGCGGGCTGGCCTCTGTCCTTGTTGACGGGACTGAGGACTTGGAGAAGACGGCATGTGTGAATCCTGAGATGTGCGGCTCTCTGCACCTGAACGGGAGCCCGAGCAGCTGTGTGGCCAGCAGGCCTTCCTGGGCTGAGGACCTCGGGGACAGCTTGCAGTACGGCCACTACCACGGCTTTGGGGATACAGCCGAGAGCATCCCCGAGCTGAGCAGTGTGCTAGAGCATTCGAGCTGTGTGCGGGTGGAACAGCGGTACGACTGCGCCATGCACCTGCACCACGGCTCCTGAGCTGGCGAGAGGGTGGCAGGGCGGCAGGCACCCCTGGCCGGGCACAGGGCAGCTGTGCAGAGGCAGGCTTCCATCCATCCCGTTGCTTGGTGGAGGAGAGCTTTCCTGGTGCGGAGGCCACGCCACAGGCAAGCCGCTTCCTTTGTAAGATGCACTTTTGGAGTATCTTTTTTTTTTTTTTAAATACTGTCACCAAAATTGGCCGTTTTTCTTTTGTGAACTGGATTGTACCTGATGGATTGGGGCAGTCAGTCAGTCCAGGAGGCGCCCGATAATTCATCTGTTTACATATGGGCATTGTTTTAGAAAGCTTGCTTTTTACTCTCCTGTAGCATTTGTGACCACACGGCTATTTCCTATGCAAGGTGCAGCTTTACGATTTCTTGCGGTGAACCATATCAAGGAAAGAACTTTTGTCTTTTTCCAACATCTTTTCACGGAAACTTTGTAACTTGTCTCGTGATGGTTTTAGTTGTAGAGGGCTCCCGGGTGCCCCTGTTCAAGGAATAGACCTCTTGCCTTGGTTTCCTTAGGAGCAGGCTCTACTTGGTGAGCTCAGGTTTGCTATTTTTACTCCATATTTCCTACCTGGGCTCTATAGAGACTTTTTACCACAGATACATAAAGGAAATTACTATTTGTAGGAACTATCTAGTCAAAATAGTAACCTATTTTGACTTTTTTTTCTTTTTTATTTTTTGAGGTTTTCTGCTTTAAAATATATACTACTTTTTCTCTCACTATATACATATACACACATGTCCATTTAACTGGGGGAATTTTTAATTTCTCCTAATAAACTGCATTAAGTTTATGATTTTTATAGAAATTAGCTTTTGTTTTTAGTCTACTAGTGGTTACACTGTGCAAACATTGTAATGTTTTTACTTTTCTGATTTTTGTAATAACAATTGGTGCAGATATAAAAACTGTCAAATGAACAAACCAATGTTCTAAGAGTGTACTAACATTTTGTTTTAAAGCTGCTCTTTATAAATTGAATTAAAAATCAAAACACAGCCAGTTGGTTGCTGAGGTTCAGTTTCTCTCCAGGGCTGATAGAGTATCAGGGTATCAGGAGAAGAAATGGAAAGGGATTACTAAGTCTGGCATTTTGTTTTATTTTGCCTGCAAGAATCTGTTGACACAATCTTTCCTTTTCTTCTTTTCCACTCTAGTATCGAGTACTTTGTTGTATGGAGTCTGCTGCAGGGAGGTATAAATTTCATGTCTGCTCTAACCTTGTCCTGAGTGCTCATTTCTACAAAAGACAGCAGACATAGTGCTCCTTTGGTTTTTTACAAATATCAGAATTAACATAGCTGCATGAGAATGTAAATTACAGTCAGGACATGGACTGAACCAGCTGAAGAGCTGTTCCGCGCCCTTCCTGTGTTCCTAAAAGCCATGACATACGCGAGCTCACAAGCCTAGCACCAGCCCGAGTGAGCAGTAAGCTTTGGACGTGCTACTGCTATGGAGTCCCTCAGAATCCAGACAGCCTCAGAAGTCTCCTTCCAACGGACCCAGGCAAGAAGCCTGCATTGCTCCAAGCATTTAAAGGCTAAGAAAAGAAACACCATTCTTCAGGGTATTTGAGAGACTCAGCCAAAGTTCATGGTAGCTGAAAGATTTTCAGATGAATCTCCTCAAACAAAGAACAAGACATTCCATTGGTTTTGGGAACTGCTGACCGGCATGACGCAGCAGCCATCCGCATGGGCCATCCCAAGGCAGTGTCCCGGTTTCCAGAGGTAGACAGGTGTTGATACAGCGTTCGTTGTAGTCACAAACTTCCAGAGTGCTGGCTGTTTCTCAGTCTTTTTGTTCTGAAGACCCTACTTGTCTACTTACAGCAAACAATTGGAATAAAATCCTTTAAAAGGCACCAGAACCATGAAATACTAGGAATATATCTGTATCCACCTAGGTGCATGTAGAGAACATGGAATACTAGACAGCCTGAAAAGAAAATGAGACCATGTCATTTCCAGGAAAATGGATTGGAATTGAACATCACCTCAAAAAAAAAAAAAAACAAATACTGTGGAGGGTTTTTCTCATGTGGAAGCAGCCCTAGAAGACATAGGTGCATATGCCTACATATTTAAAACTACATGTGTCGTGTGCAGATACATACACACTTAGAATGTGATTCTGAGGGATGACTGGCTGAGGAGAAAAGGAAAAGGAGGAAGCGGTCAAATAATCTTGCAGTCTTTTATGGCATAAAGGATCTCAAAGCCATTGATCGATAGGCATTCAGGGAATGGGGGGGGGCGGGGTACCAGAGGGGAGGAGGTGGGATAACAACATTCACAATGACATGCTTTGTACAACCCAATTATGCTAGTAACTTAATCATCTGCTAAACACCCAAGCCTTCCTGGCCACCACTTGTCAGCCACCCTTCCAAGTAGGAAGGCATTGCGCTGTGACACTGAACGCCAGGGAAAGGATTTTCCTGGAAACATCTCTCCCTGCGCTGCCCGTGTGGTAAGTGGTAGAGATCCCACGTCCCATTTCATCAGGGTGGACTCGTGGTGAAGTTTAACAAGGTGAGTCATTGTCACTTGAGTCAAGGACTTCCTTAAGTTAGTGTTTCTCTTTCAGTGTGGCATAAAGAAAAACCAGAATAATAAAATAGGCTTTCCTTTTCATAGTGCAGCAGTAAAGAATAACCAGGAGGAGTTGTTAGTAGGGCTTTTGCTGTCTGCTGGCTGTGTGACCTGCCGGTCTTCTCCAGTCATTCTTGCAGAAATCCGCCGTGGGGCAGGAGAGCGGAGACCTGTGGCTCCCAGATAGTGCTGGAGCCCCACCCCTCCCAGAGGTTCTGCAGAGCAGCCTGACAACTGCTCTCACCACATTGAAGGTCCTGAGCAAAAGCCAAGCAACTAAGCGATGGGTGCTAGGAAATGCAGAGGGGGCTCGCGAAGTACCCCCACTGTTACTAGACTAAAACAAAGGTAGCGGAGGACGGGAGAAGACAAATGAGAGGAAATCAAAAGCAGGACAGAGTTCTCGAGAGGGCAGAGGGAGTATGTCATCGAGTTTCCAGATGGGTAGGGAAAGTGTCACGTTTGAAGACTGATGGGAAAGAGAGAGTAGCTGGATGGGGACTCATGGTGAACACTGAAACTGCTCAGCCCCAGGTCGTGATGAAAGCAGTGTGGATAGAGACGAAGACCAAAGGGAAGGGGATTGGGGCTGACCTGGCTGCAGGTAGGGTGTGGGGGGGGGGGGTTGCAGGTAGGGTGTGTGTGTGTGTGGTGTACTGGGCACTTGGCT